ATAACTACAGCATAGCGATTTTATTAGTGTGAATTTTTACTTGAGTAGTTTTGAATGTATGATTATCAGAAATTCCACCAATTAATGCAACAATTTTGAGAAATAGGATAAAAACGAGAATACGTCGAAAATACAGAGCCAAATTGATTAACTATATTGATAATAATATAGACAAACTGGATAATTTTATGGTGTATTCCATGTCTAGCCAATGGTGTGTATGTGTGTGTGCTTTGTAAATATAAATATACTGCTTTATAAATATAAAAACGGTTGATTTTCTCTGTTTATACCGTTTTCTTTTCCATCTTTGAATATTATAAACAGTTTTGTCATCTCTCCGTCTCTCTTTCTATTTATGAACACCTCAAGACGGTGTTTAGTATATGTATGTTTATACATAATCAAATAGAATGCGCACGGAAAATATTTCGAAGTTAAAAGGCAAAATCGATTTCCGTATTCTCGGAGCAATGAGAACGCAATGCAAATTCGTCGTCCAATTTGATTGCTTATAAATAATAAAAACGAATTCCAACACTCATGACGCAGTTCATCGTAAATTCTGTCTCGCTTTCTCTCTTGCTTTCTCTCTCTCTCTCTCTCTCTCTCTCACACACACACACACACACATATATATATATATTTTCATCGAGAAATGGGAATTCACACAGATTTGTGTAGGATATAGCTGCACAGTTAATAATATATTATTAATAATTATTAATACTATATTATTAACTAGGCGGTATTAACAACTGATACGTTATTAACATCGCCTGTTAATATCGCTATTACTTACTAGTTAATACCAGTTAATACCGGTATTATCATACTAATATATTATTAACATGCGATGTTAATACCGATAGTATAATTAATAATTTATTATTAAATGTGCAGCTATAGTGTAGGAGAATGTAAATAATTTATGTTGGCGTTTCATTGTTGCGTGAGTACTTTGCGAAAATATCTCGAGTCTTCTTTTATTTGTAATAAATTAATTCATTCATGTTTGGACTGTTACGAAAGTATACATTTTATGACTTTTGTCTGTTTTTCGCTTGTTCTGTTTTTTTTGCTCTCTCCTCATTAGGTTTTGCATTGGCGAATAATTGTCTCAAAATAACGACAAATGGAAAATGCGCTCACGCTACTTTGTGTCCAAAAACAGTCGCTATGTATGTTCTTCGCGTTCGAGGATCTTTTGAATCTTTGTGTATAATAGCAAAAACGATTGAATAAATGAATGCAGTTGAAATATAATTTGGCCCTCTTTTTGTTAGTCCGTACTTGGTGGAAAATGCATGGATGCAGAAATTCATTTGTCATAGTCAAGAGCTACATAAGAAGTACCATCATAAAATACTAAAACCGAAAACTGCTTTTGCAATCTATAGATTTTTTTATCGATTCGGTTGTCGGTCTCTTTAAATTTGATGTCGCAGAATTCTGAAGGAGAAAATCATTCTATCAAGAGGCGGACGAACAACATGTTCATCTACTCTCTCTCTCTTTCTCATTTCGTTCCATGGCGCAAAAGCCACCATACACAATATCATGTCACTCCCATCGAATCATAATAGAATAGTAATAATGGAAGAAAAAAGCAAAACGTCATACTTATTTATGGAAAAATCTAAATCGTATTTTTCTTTGATTGACGATGATTTTGAGTGACATGAAA